AATTATTGGACAAGAGAAGGCTTGAAGTTAACAACCTCTATTCCTCTCCTGGGTCATTAATGCTTTTCAAACTTTAAAGAGCATAGGTATCACCTGGAGATCATGTCAAATGCAAATTTGCTTCAGCAGGGCTAGGTGAGATTGATAGTCCTTATGTCTAACAAACTCCCAGGTGAGCTGATGCTGCTGGCCCACTGACCCCCTGAGGAACAAAGCTCTATGGCAGTGGTCTTTACACTTTGCTGCATAATAGAACCACATGGGGCACTTTCAAAACTCCCTTGCCTAGGCCATACCCATTACCAATTAAATCAGAAAATTAGAATCCCTGGAGTAGGCTCCAGGCCCCCAGGTAATTCTAATGTGCGGCTGAGTTTGAGAACCAGAGGTCTAGTGCAGAGGTTCTCAAACTGGAGTCTGAATCGGGATCACTTAGAGGGGTGCTGGGCATCACCCTTAAAGTTTCCTTTTTTTTTTTTTTTTTGAGACAGAATCTTGCTGTCACCCAGGCTGGAGTGCAATGGCGCGACCTCAGCTCACTACAACCTCCACCTCCCGGGTTCAAGCGGTCCTCCTGCCTCAGCCTCCCAAGTAGCTGGGATTACAGGCAAACGCCACCGCCTGGCTGATTTTTTTGTATTTTTAGTAGAGATGGTGCTTCACTTTGTTGGCCAGGCTGGTCTCAAACTCCTGGCCTTGAGTGATCCACCCGCCTCGGCCTCACAAAGACATGGGATTACAGCCATGAGCCATCGGGCCCGGCCACCCTCAAAGTGTCTGATTCAGGAGTTCTAGGGTGGGGCTCAGAGGTTCATGATACTGAAGGGAGAGGGAAAGGAAGAGGAAGTAGGGTGGAAGAGAGGGAAGAGGGGGAATTAAAGAGAAAGGAAAAAGACAGATTCTGGCTGGGTGCGGTGTCTCACGCTTGTAATCCCAGCACTTTGGAAGGCCCAGGTGGGCGGATCACGAGGTCAGGAGATCAAAACCACCCTGGCTAACACGGTGAAACCCCGTCTCTACTAAAAAAAAAAAAAATACAAAAAATTTGCTGGGCATGGTGGCAGGCACCTGCAGTCCCAGCTACTCAGCAGGCTGAGGCAGGAGAATGGCCTTAACCTGGGAGGCGGAGCTTGCAGTGAGCCAAGATCATGCCACTGCACTACAGCCTGGGTGACAAGCGACATCTCAAAAAATAAAATTAAATTAATTTTAAATTAAATTTTAAAAAATTTAAATTAAATTTAAAAAAGTTCCTTGTCTTCTAGGATTTTATAGGTTCCTAGAAGAAATAAGACAAATATTCATATAAACAGAAAACAAGGTGAGCTATGATAAAAAGCCAAGAGAGAGAATCTGAATGTTCTGGGGGAGATGACTTCTAGCAGAGGTGATTAGAGGTGCTCCTAGGTGTGTGGAACTGGGGATAGGGAAAAGGGACAGGGTTTAAGAACAGCTTTAATGAAGAGGGTCTCCATGGGTGGGCACTCAAAGAATAACTGGGATTTTATCAACAGAGATGGGACAAGGCTATTCCAAGCCAAAAATCTAGGAGCAAGGGCCAGGCGCGGTGGCTCACGCCTGTAATCCCAGCACTTTGGGAAGCCAAGGTGGGCAGATCACCTGAGGTCAGGAGTTCGAGACCAGTCTGGCCAATGTGGTGAAACCCTGTCTCTACTAAAAACACAAAAATTAGCCAGGCATGGTAGTGGGCACCTGTAATCCCAGTTACTCGGGAGGCTGAGGCAGGAGAACCACTTGAACCCAGGAGGCGTAGGTTGTGGTGAGCCCAGATGGCACCACTGCACTCCAGCCTGGGGGACGGAGCAAGACCCTGTCTCAAAAAAAAAAAAAGCACAGGTTGTGTTCAAGAAAGAGCAAGATCTGAATGGAGTGGGGGTAGAGCATGGAGGGTCAGGGGTGGGAGCAGGCTGCAGCGGGGGTCTGGGCCAGGTCCCACAGAGTCACGGATTCCAAGCAGAACACGGAGGTCATGCTTGATTTGGTAGATACTGGGAAGCTCATGAAGGTTTTTAAGCTGGAGGGCCCCATCACTCTGGTAGGAGTGGAAGAGCTGTGATGAAGTGGCAGAAGCTGAAGACAGGTTCAGTTTGGCAGCTGCTCCAAGAATTCAGGTGAGAAACTCCATGCATCTGGATTAGGGCTGGGTATAGAGAGTAAAATGTCCTCAGAAAACAGTCACAGAGAGACATAAGCTCTGCCTCTTAATCTATTAACATAGGTCCGATCTTCATTAGAATTAGAAGGCACTTGAATCGTGAGTGCCCAGAGGTTCCTGTTAGAAAAACATTAAACCACCACTGACTAACCAGGCCTGGAAATGTCCTGTGCTGGGTGAATGTGTCCAAAGGTCCCAAGCAGGACAAACAGAATAGAGGTCACGCGGCCTTATGTCGAGTAAATGTTTGAGAAGGGATGAAGACAAATGCAGGGACTCCTGTGAGCAATCATGAGGAAGCAGGGGCATTTGTTAAACAAAGACCAACAAAGACAATCTCAGAGGCAGAAGACGGGGACAGACAAACTCACGCGTCTGGGATGGTCCCCACTGGTTCCCATCTCAGGTGCCCAGTGAAAGATGAAAGGCAGAGGCCCTGCCGCAAGCTGGATGGGAAGGGCTGTAATCACCTCTGACACCTGCTGAGACCTGAACCTCTGCTCTGTGCCTCCCCAACCAAATAACAACCTGAGGCCTCTCCTCAGCCCTCCGCCACTCTCTCCTCCACAGTATCTGACTGCAGATCCAAAGTTCAAACTGGTCACCTCCACCAGAAGGCAAGCAAAGACAGCTGTAAAGTAGGAAGACAGGTTTGTTTATTTTAATAGGAGGAATAAAATTCAAAGTTATTTTTTCAGGACCAAAGAAAATCAACCACTTTGCTTCAAGTAAAATTGAGATCTCTATGCAGAAAGAGACAGGTCTGGGTTTGAATCCTGGCTCCACCATTTAACAGGCATGTGAGTGAGCTTCCTGAACTTGCATTTTCCTGTCTGTGAAATGACAACACCAGCCACTCATAGGATTCTTAGTGAGACAGACATGAAGGTGCCCAGGGCAGGGTTGGGTCACTGCAGACCTTCAGCATCAGTCCCTTTCTCCACAGGACAGCTCTACTCATTCTCCCAGTCCCTGGAGGTTGTGATAGTCTGCCCCAAACCCCTTCAGTTTCCTTCTCTTCTCTTTCCAGTCCTCTGAATCCTCCAGGCCAGATGCTCTGGAGTTAGTCACTGTCTTAATTCCATCTGCATCCCCAACTTCCAACACCCACTAGGAAGTGTCTCTTAGAATCATACACGTGACAGCGCTTAAAAACATGGGCCATGTCCTCAGACATGTAAGTTCAAATCTTGGTTCTGCCTGGTACAAAGGCATATGATCTTAAGGGATCTCTGGTGATGATAATCCTGCTTATCTTCTAGGGTGGTGAAGATTACATGAGTTTTCCATATTAGATGCTAAGCATATGTCCTGCCTTGCAGAAAGAGCTTGGGAAGTGCTAGCCATGGTGACTATCAGTTCTTTCTCACATGTGCCCCATCTGGGGCCAACCCCCATCACTGCACACCCGATGACAAGGGAGCTTCCTGGCTGCTCTCCTGCCCCTAGCCTCTCACTACCCTAATCAAACCTACATCCTGTTGCCAAACTCCACTTCCTCCCATGCCCCCTGGGGCCCTAGTTCAAGAACCTGCTAAGGCCAATGACATTCAGTCCAGGCCCTCACTCACCCTTCCCCCAAACTCTACTTCCTACCACTTCCTAAAAACACACTTGCCACTCCCATCAGCCAGTTCTGCTGTTACCCAAAGGTATAAACTACCTTGGCTCTGCCCTTCCAAGCCTCTGCTCAGCACAGCTCCTCTCAGCTGCCACACCCTAATCCCTTCTACAACCTCCTGCTTAGGTGTCACCTCCTCCAGGAAGCCTTCTCTGACCTGACCTCTCCTCTCCATGCTCCCTTCTCTGAACTTCCGTAGTTCTCATTAGCACAAAGGCAGCCATATCCTATGACCCCTGAGACAGCCCTAAAGGCACAGGTACATCTGAAGTAAATATTTGGTCATCAAGTGAGTCCAGTTTACAACAGAAAACCAGGAGGGAGACAGAGCGGTTAAATGGCAAGACAGGATCCCAATACTTATTAGTAACACCGGAAAAAAATAGAGTAACTATTGCAAAGAGCTTGCTTGAAATTACGATTTTAAGAGCCTATGATTACTTTATACCACAGAAAGTCCCTAGTTATTAGCTGGTTTACTTGTCATTTCTCTTGGTTTCACAAAAATAATCACTTTGAGGCTAAGCATGGGTGGCTCACACCTGTAATCCCAGCACTTTAGGAGGCCAAGGTGGGCGGATCACGAGGTTAGGAATTTGAGACCAATCTGGCTAACATGGTGAAACCCTGTCTCTACTAAAAATACAAACTTAGCCAGGCATGGTGGCGCGTGCCTGTAATTCCGGCTACTCAGGAGGCTGAGGCAGGAGAACTGCTTGAACCCAGAAGGCGGAGGATGCAGCAAGCCAAGATCGTGCCACTGCACCCCAGCCTGGGCGACAGAGTGAGACTCTGTTTCAAAAAAAAAAAAAAAGTCGAAAATATCAGATTGTTTTCTCTAATTGCAAGAACTATTTGGATGTTTCTTGTACAACCAAGTGAAGGTGCCAGGGGTCTCCATCTCCTCCCTGTGTAACTTCCACCACCTTCCCAACCACTCCAAATAAACATAGAAGTAAAAACTGTGCTTACAATGCAAAGGTAGCTCTAAGCCTCTCCTACACCGCAGTTCTGGAGCTGACATTGCACACAGTGAGGACACTAAAAGGCTGATGAACATGCTGACTGCCTGCAGACAGAGCAGAGGGATGGCGCTAGCCCCCCACTCTGTCTTGGACACCACCTTCTCCTCCTCCGACACAACGCACTCCTCCACCTTGGAAGGGTGCTCCCGCCCTCTCCCTATGAGGTTCTGCGTCTCACCACTGTCCCGAAGGGTCTGGGTCAAGTCTTCCACCAGGGCCGCTGCCTCCTCACTGCTTTCAGGCCGATGCTCTTGCAGCCAAGCCTGAATTTCCTTTGGTAGCATGGTTAACATCTGCTCCTTGGTGTGTACCTCTGGCCTCAGCCAGCGCCGACAGAGCTCTCGGAGGCGGCTGAGTGCACCCTGTGGTCCCCTGGTCACCTCCTCCTGGGAGCTGCCCTTGCCAGCACTCTGGGGAAAGGGCTCAGACTCAGGGCCATCCTCCTGCAACACAGCTTCCTGCACCCAGGAGTCATCCTCCAGGATCATGGTGGTGACCTCCTCCTTCTGTCTATCTTCCACTTGAGGCACCTGGACCAAGGGGCTCAGCGGAGTGGTCACTCTCGGGATCTCTGCAGCCATCATCCACGGTCCTGGGGCAATCACTTAGGCTTCAAGCCTTGAACCCCAGTCTTCTCCAGCCAGGCTCTCAGGTAAGACACTTCCCTCCTCAGATATCAACAAGTAGTCCCGCTGAGAAACAAAAAAGAGAACCATAATCTATAGGTAGACTGTCTTAAAGCAATCTAACTCACAAAAGCCCAGGTCAGACCACCAAGTGGTCCTCACATATGCAAACCAACAGACGTTTCCTGTTCCTCTTAAAGAAAAAATGGCTTATTCCTGAAAACATCTGTGGTAAGAGAAGGCGGTGGGTGTCGCACGCCTGTAATCCCAGCACTTTGGGAGGCCGAGGTGGGCAGATCACCTGAGATATGGCGAAACTCCGTTTCTATTAAAAATACAAAAATTAGCTGGGTGTGGTGGCAGGGGCCTGTAGTCCCTGCTACTTGGAAGGCTGAGGCAGGAGAATCTCTTGAACCCAGGAGGCGGAGGTTGCAGTGAGCACAGATCTCGCCACTGCGCTACAGCCCGGGCAACAGAGTGAGACTCCGTCTCAAAAACAAAAACAAAAACAAAAAAAGTATCCTAAGCACAAAAAATACAGCATTGTTCCTTCCAAAACACCAAAGAATGAGTATCAGAAATGCAAAGTCCCTGGCAAAAACCCATGACTGAAATACTGAGGACTCTCATAAGTCAGTTCCGACTTGGACCTTGACTTGACTTGCAGTCAAGCCTGAATTTCCTTTGGTAGCATGGTTAACATCTCCTTGGTGTGTACCTCTGGCCTCAGCCAGTGCCGACAGAGCTCTCAGAGGTGACCGAGTGCACCCTGTGGTCCCCTGGTCACCTCCTCCTGGTGGTTGCCCTTGCCAGCACTCTGGGGAAAGGGCTCAGACTCAGGGCCATCCTCCTGCAACACAGGAGTGTGTGTGTGAGACCTTGACCTAACAAACAACTTAGTCACCAAACTCTGTGACCACCTAATAAATAGACATAGTAACACTCATGTTTCTGTTTTTATGGGAGCATCTTAAGGATTAGCAATGGATCAGATGTCAAAGCACTTTGAGCTTCATTGGAAGAAAGGCAGTATCTCAACTGCATTATTACCATACTGTAAGTATGAAGTTTAGAACATACCCATACTCTCCAATCCAGCCTCAGCCCCTCAGTGTACTTTATCTTAAAAAAATAACCAAAAACTTGAGTCCTTAAAAATCCAGCAGCAGGGAATGGCTAATAAACTATGACACATACATATAGTAGCATGTATTAGAAACTGTGCTATAGGCCGGGCGCGGTTGCCTGTAATCCCAGCTCTTTGGGAGGCCTCGGCAGGCGGATCACTTGAGGTCAGGAGTT